TCTTGTCATTAATGACATGCTAGATTTGTGTTAAAAGCATACATATGCCTAAAGGTCGATTATTTGCATGTCTTCATGTTAGGTTGGAAATGAAGAGATAATCACATTCATACACTTTTCTTTAGGACAATATCATAACAATTGAAGGAAGAAATTAGCACATGTTAGTGTTTAAAATATGGAATCCATGGTTTTTGTAGGATGATCATTTCAGATAAATCAGCTGGAAAAAATGAATGTGTGGCAGGAATTTGCAATAACAATTACATAGGAGTGATCCAACTTGAATTTTTTGTCAAATGTACTCTTTATGAGGAATTTATTGTCAACACATGAGAACATTTGATTATATTATCATACTTTCCATTTAACCCTATGTACTCTATCATTCTGTTATTTGAATGAAGTTTATATTTTATAGTTGCTGAACTTAAAAAATAGTTTGAGTAAAGTGATAACATCAAATTGTTAAAGCCAGATTTACCTGGGCAAGAGCATGCACAAATTGCAAGCTTTTCCTTGAATATTCATTTTGATTTTTGTGGAGAATATTTCCTTTTTTTAAATGAAATTTATTTTCAGTAATACAATCAGATTATCTCAGGTTCATGAGATATAGTTTACAGAATGGAACTTAAGGTTTTGTACCCTACATATTAACATGCTAACTTAGCCGTGAACAATAAAGAAAATTCCTTGCATGGTTACAAAGTACACAGTCACCAGCAGTTATTTTAGTGAATGGAAAAATATGTTGACTAAATGCCTGCTCACAAGATTTGTGGTCATGTGATCATCTGAGAAACCAAAACAGAGTTAACTATTACCGGGGTATTTATTTTTAGAGCAGTTTGATGTTTGCTAATGAAAATTCAAAGCAATCAATAATGAAGTGTTTTGGTGCAAGATGTCTGTGTGTGTTTTTTCAAGGTGACATTCACTGCTATTTGGTATATGTCAAGTTGTCCTTGGCAGTAGTGCTATGTACACAAAATGTTGTTTATCAAGACTAGTTATGATAATTCTGAAAACTTGATCCCCTATCTTGCAATGGTTTTATTTTTTGCATTTGTACCTTTAAATTTTTTTTATAGTAATTGACCATTTTGAGTATGGGGAACATGTATACTTAAGTTTACATTTGTGAGCTAAATTCTTGCATTTCCTGGAATATGATTTTATCAAAAATAAAATTTGACAAAGGAAGGTTTGATACTAGGTGGCAGAATTAAAACACTCTTCATTCTCTTAGATCCTTCGTGGGATACTATGCTGAAATTCTCAGTTCCTCAGGAATTCTCTCCTTATTTTTTATAGCTTTTGTCACAGTCAAAATTAGTTTGATTGTTAATATACACATAATTTGTCATCTTTCATCCTGTTTTCTCGACAACAAAAAATGCATGTTGCACAGAACATGCTTAGATGCATTGCACTTAGGTGTACAAGAATTACTGCTGCAATATATTATTAAGCATATAATTTTACTGTAATGAATTAGACAATGCTTCAAAACTATTTCCTTTTAAATATAAATCACAGAAATTAATTGATAAATTTTGAATTATATGAGTTGTTTTTAGATTGACACATAATGTTATCTCATTCAAATGCTAATTAGAGTTTGCCCACCTTAAGTGAAAAACATGTCTCTGAAATGATAAAATTTTGCATATATACACCTTGTCCTCCTGTTTGTGTGTAGGAGTGGTGATAGAAAGGTTTCTGTCCAGTTGATTAGCACATAAAACAATTAAAGTTTTGGATATTGTCTTTTTCTTTGCAGATAAATATCTAGCTCAAGGTCTGTTTTGGGTAGGATCGAGCAATTTTTGACAGAGTTTGTTCCCCTGAACTAACAAAAATTCCAATTATTTGCAGTTTCCATTCATTTTATTTTTATGTTTGTCCAAAGAGAGAAGGGGGGGGGGATAAGTGTTTCACAAGCATCTCTCAATTATTTAAGTTGTCTCCTTGGCATTTTCCTATGATGCACTTCTGCTATTGTTCTGACTATGCCCAAGTTTTGGACCAAGCCATCATGTGTTATGGCTGCCTTTGGCTGGTCCAAAACATGCACCAAGATCTAACATCTTTCCAGGTCTTTTATATCTAACCATGCAGGTTATGTCACACAACTGAAATTAGCAAGAATTTACAAATTGCCAAATCTGGGCCATAATATTTGTGAGTTAGGATTTTTATACCCAGTATCACCATGGTGTCGATCACAAGCTTTTAAGTTTGATGGTTATTTTGATGGAGGAGCCCAATGTAGATTACGTCTGGGACTTTTTCTTCATGACTTTCAATCTCATAGTAATCTGTAGTATGAAATATAATTTTTTAGGATGAATTGGTGTCAAAGAAAGAACTGGCCAAACTTTTGTTGCAGAATTCATTACATGTACATTGAATGGTGATTGGGAGGATGGATGCTTCCAAATTTGAACTGTGTTTACTCTTTGGTTCATAGAAATATACACACGTTTCATCACCTGTTGTAATTCTGTTTATGAAAAAGATTCCATCTTTTGCCTACCTATTGATATAACTGGCAAACATTGCCCCTTGTACTCAAATCTGTAGCATTCCAAGCTTACGGGTAAAAAAAATCTTTCTTGAAACGCTCATATATATTCCAAATAAAATCATGAATTAATATTCAGAAAAAGTTCATGTACTGTAAGGAGGTAGTGCCTAATAAACAGAATATTGCTTGCAAATACATGTATTCTATAGACCATTAATTCAAATGCAAAACCTTTCTAGATTTATCTTAATTATGAGTGACCAATATTTCCATTGCACAACTTAGAATTGCTCTGTTTTTTTAAATAGAATTGCGAACTTTACAAGTGAATTGGTCTAATTTTGCATTAGTACATATTTAATTCATGTTGGGGTAAAGAATATCATTGATGTAGACAGCAAGATTCCAGTCCCCGAAGAGCAAGCTAATGATATACTTGAACTGTACTGTCACCATTCCCTAGCTTAGCATTTCAGCCACTAACTAGGCGTAAGTGAAGTTTTGGCAATTCCTATTATGGCCATAATCTTTATAAATATCCTTATAATATTTCTGCCAAGGATTTATCAAAATTTACACATTTTTTGTTCCTTTGCTTCATTTCTATCACATCCTCTTTGTGTCATTTCACATTGTGATGTCATTTTTAGCTCACCTGAGCCAAAGGCTCAAGTGAGCTTTTCTGATCACAATTTGTCCGTTGTCTGTCGTTGTCGGCGTTGTCGTCGTTGTCGTTGTTAACTTTTCACATTTTTATCTTCTTCTCAAGAACCACTGGGCCAATTTCAACCAAACTTGCCATAAAGTATCCTTAGGTGAAGGGGATTCAAGTTTGTTCAAATGAAGGGCCACGCCCTTTTCCAAGGGGAGATAATTATGAATTGGAGAAAAATTAATGGCATTTTTAAAAAATCTTCTTCTCAAGAACCACTGGGCCAGGAAAGATGAAACTCATGTGGAATCATCACCAGGTAGTGTAGATTCAAGTTTGTTCAAATCATGACCCCCGGGGGAAGGGTGGGGCCAAAATGGCCGATCAAAGTTTTACATAGGAATATATAGGAAAAATCTTTAAAAATCTTCTTCTCCAGAACCACTGGGCCAGGAAAGATGAAACTCATGTGGAATCATCACCAGGTAGTGTAGATTCAAGTTTGTTCAAATCATGACCCCCGGGGGTAGGGTGGTGCCAAAATGGCCGATCAAAGTCTTACATAGGAGTATATAGGAAACATCTTTAAAAATCTTCTTCTCAAGAACCACTGGGCCAGGAAAGATGAAACTCATGTGGAATCATCACCAGGTAGTGTAGATTCAAGTTTGTTCAAATCATGACCCCCGGGGATAGGGTGGGGCCAAAATGGCCGATCAAAGTTTTACATAGGAATATATAGGAAAAATCTTTAAGAATCTTCTTCTCAAGAACCACTGGGCCAGGAAAGATGAAACTCATGTGGAATCATCACCAGGTAGTGTAGATTCAAGTTTGTTCAAATCATGACCCCCGAGGGTAGGGTGGGGCCAAAATGGCCGATCAAAGTTTTACATAGGAATATATAGGGAAACCTTTTAAAATCTTCTTTTCAAGAACTTCAAATCCATGCTTAGTGATATTTATATGGAATCATCCTCAGGTAGTGTAGATTCATGTTTGTTCAAACCATGACCCCCTATGAGGTTAAAATTCAAGCCCCCCCCCCCCCCCCAAACTCAGTAAACTTTCAGTTCGGATCTGATATGTGCTTTTTCCTAGCAAATTGCTCAGGTGAGCGATGTGGCCCCTGGGCCTCTTGTTACATTTTAACTCTCATTTTTACATTGTGGTATCATATGTGCTAAATGCAACACGAGCTTTTTCAAGCACATGTTCATGACAAAAATTTTATTCTGATATAAAGTCTTGTGGATCTGATACAGACAAAAACTTGAGCTCTTTGAATCACCCCTCATGTAGACCTTTCTGAATTAGGAAAAGATAAAAGTTTTCATTCAATGGAGTTGTTTTTTATTATCTTCTACATTCTTGCAACAGGGTGGTTTCTTTCTTGTATTTATAGCAATATTTCAAGGACAAAAGGCGATTAAGGTATTTGACCTTGGCCCATTCTTGTTTTTCTTGTGTTGACATCATGCTTGGTGCATGAATCTTGCACTAGGTACAAAGCTATTAAGATAAGAGAGAATTTAAATCGGCAAGGTATCAGATCAAAAATCATTCAAAAATTTAGTATCCCTTGCCACCATTGGCAACCCCCCTTCCCCCCAAAATATATATATCAAAATAGCAAGGGATGGTGAAAATACGGTACTATAGTTTGTGTTTTCTTCCAGAGTCTTCCACTATAATAAAAGACAGTATATCATTTGTTTTGTTATATTATAATGACTGATGTATTCTTGCAGTTTAAGATTAAATGTTTGTTTTGGGGTTTCCTTTTCAAAATCATTCTTTTTTTTTTTGTTGCAGGTATGATATGTGAAGATGTTGATATTCGAAATGATGTGAATGCATTTGCTGAACTAGAAAACTGTACCGTTATCGAGGGAAACTTGAAAATTCTTCTGATTGAGGGGGCCTCCCACCAACAGTATGAAAACCTGTACTTTCCCGATCTAGTGGAGATCACAGAATTCTTTCTTCTTTATCGTGTCTATGGATTAAAGAGTCTCAGACGAATTTTCCCCAACCTGTCCATAATTCGGGGTCACAAGCTGTTCTTCAATTTTGCTTTGGTGGTGTTCGAATTGATGGACTTGGAGGAGCTGGGTTTGATCGGTCTGACCACCATAGAACGCGGAGCAGTTAGGTTTGAAAAGAATCCCATGCTATGTTATATTGATACCATCGACTGGACCAAAATAGCTGTAGGTGTTCAGGGAATGAGTGAGCACTACTTCAAAAGGAACAGAATTGCCAAAGAATGTGTGGATGTGTGTCCAAATAACTGTACCACCACAGCGGTTGTCACAGCATCAGGGGAGGTTACCAAGGAAGTCAAGAGTAGATGTTGGACCAATTCGCATTGCCAAAAGATTCTAAGTAAGTCCAAGTTTTCTCTGGATAACAAATGTCTTGCTTATAAAATTTGTTATATTCTTGATACTCTAAATAGGAATTGTTATTATTAGTGCAAAAATTTGTTTTTCCAAAGTGAACAAACTTATAATTCATTGCTGGAGACCTTACTAACTCGCATGTGGTAAATTAAGACATTTATTTAGTGACAGTGATACGATGCATCAAAACTTTATTAAATTTTGCACAGGCAAAAATAAAAAATTTCAAATTTGAAATTTAAATGAATGAATTTGTGATTTTTAAAGCAGTGCTTTATTGTTTTGAGCTTCTGTTGAATAGCACTTTGACAATTATATAGATATTGGTATCAAGTTGTTTTTCTTAAATTTTGCATCTAAAGTGAATTTTATATTTTTGTTTTTATTTGGAAAAAAGTAAACAATTTCCTATACTGTTAATATAATGAAATCTAGTTCAGAAAAATTACTTTTTTGTGCACAACACTCTTTAAAAAGTGTTGGTACCCAACATTAGCAGAAGAGGGATGAGGTAAATTCCAGGATAGTGAAATACAAGAAAAATATTCCAGCTTGTCCAAATGTGAAATATACAGAGCTGCCAACCCGGTTTTGGCATAAGGCATCTTAAATATGCCTGACATTTTCTCGTTATTATTCTGATTTCTGTTTCCTTCTGTCAAAGACCCTCCCCTAAGGTTTCAAGGGGGGTGGGGGGTGTTAGGTGGCGAATGTTTATATGATCAAAGTTTAACAGCGGAATACATCGGGGGTGGGGGGGGGGGGGCAGAATATCTGATTCTGATGGTAAAGAACAGAAGGAGTATAGTGAGTTAGGTAAGCCTTGTGGCCCATGGATCTAGATACTTTTGAAATAATTTCACTTTGTCAAGGTTCTGTAATATAGTTCCTCTACAGATACCCCAGAGAAGGACTGCAATGTTAACTGGGTTCACAGTTGGTGGTGTTTCTGATTCCTTCATAAGCAGCTGTGAAAAATATAGGATGCATCCTTATTAGAAGATTTGGCTTTAGTCTACAGATTATGCAAGTACATGTACAAATAGGCTGCATGTCCCTCTTCTTAAGCTTTTCAGAATCTGTAGACTGTTGGTTTGTCTGGTTTAATTTTAAATACTTTTTATTATATATTAATTTTATTTCAATCTTGAATTTGAAAAGAGTCTTGGAGTTGCAAAGACAACCAGAAATAAAGTGGAATGTTTTTTTAAAATGTTGAAATTTTTTTATTTGTATTGTTATAATAAATGGCTATTTTGATAAAGTTTCCATGATAATTGATTATTTGATCATAAGTTAAACTAGTCCGAAAAATCTGACGTTTTCCAGGCTTTTTTACAATTTTGATATTTTCATGTTTTTCTGGCACGTAAAATATCAAAATCATCAAAAAAGCCTGGAAAACGTCAGATTTTTAGGACTAAAGTTATACATTATTCACGTGTATACACACTGAGAATTCTTCAAGTGTTGAATGAGTGATTTTGTCACTAGGATATTACCACATACTTACATTCTACTACAATAATACACAACTAGGAGCATTTGTCTGGTGATACATTACTCTGGCTGTATTAATAATACAAGAAATTTAATTCAGATGGACTAACATATTATGTTTCTTCCAAAATCAGCCAAGATGTCTTGTAGATTAGTACTTTGGCATTATTAATGCATAGAATTGAAAATTTTGTTCATCAAATATTTTTTCAAGGAGAGACAGTTTTCTTTAATTTCTTTCATTACCATGAAATCTGTTACTTTTATGTCACAAGAGTCATTGAACACATTAAAAGGACAGATCATGTAATTTATTGGACCTGTAACGAGACCTATCTGAATCGCATTTTCTATTCATTTATGATGAAAGACCTCAAATCTTCATTCATGCTTTTTCCTAGCTGACACCGAGAATAAATTAACATGTATATGAAATGAAGAAAAATGTGTTTCCCTGTACTAAGCTAACAGAATTTTTGGAATACATTAATGAATATCTAAGAAGAACATAGTTCTCAAATTAACCTACAGTTTTCCAAATGATATGTATATACATAAACATCCAATATATAGATATAATGATAAAGAACACTATTACATGAAAACTAATTAGATTATACAAAGACAGTTCCATGTTAGGGGCAGCAGGCTATTGATTTTTGTGGTTTTACAGAAAAAGGGTGCAGCTGTCACTTAAATGAACAGAGAGTGGAAGGGGGGATCAAATAAATTATTGTGACTGTGAAGTATATAAAAATTCTTACCCACCAGTAATACATTTTATATTTATAATTCTGACTGTGTTCACAGTTTTTTTCCTTCTTTTAAATGAATCAAATTTAATAGATTCTTATACTCATCTTTTAGCTAAAATTAAAATTATTTTTCACTAAAAGTGAATATCATGATACATATCATGATACAATCTCATTGTATCATGATATATTATGGTACACTTTAACCATACCTTCACTCATATTAATTTGTCCCAGTCTGTAAACTAAGCCAGAGGGGACTTTTTCACTCTGTCAGTGGATTTGTCCATCATCCAAAATAGTTTTCCAGTTTGTTTTAGATGCTAGCAGATTTATGCTGAATTTTGGAAATTGAGTTTACCTAAAAATCCTTGATTATATAGTTACAGATCAAATTTGCAGTGCAATTTCTACTGTAATGATTTTTGAAGGAATTATGGTCTTTAGACAAAATTTTTTTTATAATATTTACTGTTTTTCCAGATGTTTTGTTCAGCTGCTTGTATGCAGATATTGAGCTGATTTTTGTGATGATGAATTACAGATCAAGTCTACATATTTTCTACTTCAATTATTTTTGACAGAAATATGGCAGACTCATTATCTCCTAATGAATTTTTTCCTGCTAAATGTTAAGGTAAAGGAATACAAGTTTTGACAGTTGACTTGATATTGTGTATAGGAACAGGAGAGGAATAAAAAAATAGAGTGGACCAGACTAGAATTCAAACCTGGGCCCCTGAACTCTAGTCAGGTGCTCTACTAAGTGAAATTATTTGCTACAGGCATTCAAATTGGCCCTGTCTCCTTAAAGGTCTAAATTAGCCCTCAAAGACATCAACCAAGCCCCTCCTCTGGCAGGTCTCATCTATCACATCCAGGGCATGATCATGGTGCCTGAAATAGTACATACAACTGACCAGACCAAGATTTGAATCCCTGAATCTCTAGTCAGATGCTCAACCCAATGAATTTACTGCCAAATATATACAGCTTATACATGCAGTACTCTTAGAATGCTTGTGTATCATTTGTGTGTGGAATTAATAGAAAAGAAGAATTTACACCCAAGTGTATCATTGAAATTGGTTTCCAAATAACTTTTGTTAAGGTCATGTTTTAATCCTGTTTTTTTGTGTGTAAAAGATTTAAATTCTCTTGGCCGTCTCCCATTTGGCCCATCTTTAACACCTTGCCTATTGTTCTCTTGAGACTTTTCACCATGAAGAAATTATAAAACCAAGTTGTGAGGCCAAATAATATTCCTGCTAAGAATAGCATGAAACAAGAACCTAAAATTATTGCTTACTTTTAAGAGTTTGGAGAAACTCAATTACATGTACATGTACTTCTAAAATGTTGGGATGCATTAATGGATTGTAAGAGTTTAGAAATAATTCCTGTCCAGTATAATTTTCGATTAATTACTGTAAACCAACTTTTATTCGTGACGACTTTATTTCCTGATTTACTGGAGATAAACTAGTTCGCGGCAATTAATTTTTGTGATCAAGCCTATTAAGGTTCTGTTGTAAATTGACACATAGACTTTAGGAACCGGTTCATGGGCGAGAAATATTCGTGATGACGAGGCTCTCTCGAACTTCGCGGAAAATTTATCGCATGCAAATAAAAGTTGGTGTACAAGTAATTGTCACTTCATGTTTTGAATCAATGGAAAATGCAAATAAAAAAAAAACAAAACACAACAGCACGAAACAAGAAAGTGGAGGCATGATCAAACAAGCTTGTATATTGTAAACAATGTATTGTAATCAACTAGTCAAGGCAGTAGCTTAAACTTGTTTTTATTTTTGCCAACTTAGGTCACAGTGGCATGTTTTTTCATCAATTTATTTGGCTTTAAATAGAATGTCTGAATACCTCTTTCACAAGAAGAGAAGAGTGGAGCAACTGCTTGATAACAACTTTTTTTGAAAAACATACCCCTCCAAGATAAAGCAAACAGGGGACATTCAGTGCAGTAGTGAAGTTTGCCAAGTCATTGGTAAATAGATGAACTAATCTTTCTGCTTGTCTGAATGGTGCTAGTATTTTCAGCACAACACAGAATAAAAACAATTATGAAATATTGCATATGAATAATTCAAGCTACTTTTAAAACAAGCTTGTCTGTTTTAAATGGACACGGAAACATCTGAAGGCCAAATGAATGTGTTTTGAATTTTTATGACAGATGCATGTCTATGAAGTTGAACAAAAGTTAAAGCAGGATAAATGGTATTTTTATTCTAAGAGCATGCACACTAAATAGAAAAGTTTGAAGATGAGGAATAATTCTGTAAAAGTAGAAAAGCTGCAAGTTCAGACATTATTATAGTAGAATTAGTTACTAAATACTAAATTATGATTCCAGAAATGTTCATTCTATAGACCAAAATTTTTACACCCCCCCCTTAGTGCTTAGTATTTTTAAAGGTAATATAAATAGGTTGTTTTAAATTATTCCAAGGAGTGATATTTCAGGAATTGTATGGTCCAATGAACTAATCACTGAATTATAAATATGTGGATCTTTTAGGTATGATATCATATTATGAGAAGTTTTCTCCCTTGTCATATTAAACAAATGTGGTCAGAAATTGCCAGAGGCTATTGTGTCTTTATGAGCTTGTTTCGTGTAAACAATGTCCATGGCTCTGCAGAAAGAAAATATGCAGAATGAATACACATAAAGTCTTAAAACATGAAGTATTTATAAACTTGCACACTGCAAAAAGAAAGGGGGAGTGGATTGCCATGAAGTAGTGTCATCTGTTTTTTTTTCCGAAAACATTCTGAAGAAAAAGAAACATGTCCATATATTATATAAAAGTAACGGCTGATATTTCCTTGTTTATGCCTTTTAATTGGTATGTGGAGAGTAATATGACAGTAGTATGTGCCCAGCCAGGGCTGAGGTGTCACAAGCCATAACTATACTGGATTACTCCAGCAGACAGTAAATGTGTGAAATTAATCAACCACTGTACAAAGCCTCAAGGTCAACACCTCCGGCTGCTCCGTGAAAACAGACAAATGCCCCTCCCACCCCATCACATTCTTTAATATCACAATTTTTCATGAATATGAAGGTTGGAAAATAAAATAATATGGTTGTTTTGCATACTTTGTGTTAGGTTGGGTTATCAGAGAAATGTGCCATCTGTCGGTATTAATGTTATTTTTACAAAAATCAAAGAAGGTAACATTCTCATTCAAAATACAAGCTTATATGTCTATACACATTTGTTAATTAACAATTTTAATTAACAATTAGGTGATTTATTATTTGTTGCCAATTTTTTCTCCTGTTCTGTAATTTTTGGGAGGAATAATTTTCTTTCTGGTAATACCACTTTGCTTCTGTAAAGGTTTATATTTTAAACTTCTCACCATTTTATGTGTACTTGATCAGGAAGAAACCCTATATTTAATCCATTCATATAAAAAACTGCATGACTTTATATGAAATTTGATTTTGGACTGGTTATTTCCTAATCAAGGAATTATAACAAGATATTCATAAGACTGGTCTAACAGATTCAAGAAAATCTAGTAAACATGGTAAAACCTAACGGTATTGATTCATCATAACAATTCTATGCAGTTGATATTGGTTAAATAAGGGATGGATTAATGGTTAAAGCTCTCTGTAATGGAATCATTCTCAAATCTTAAAAAAATGGTTAGAAAATTCCCGATGATTGTAAAACTGACGTTTAGGTTAACATACTTTCAATTATATACTGACTGTAAAATTGATTATATAAATGAAAGATAAAATAAAAATATGATTTGTGTAATAGCATTTTGTTAATCTGTAAGTGCGACTTTGATAGAATATTTGATCCAGTGTCAATATGTCGTCAAGGAATTTATGTAAAGTACTCAGGCAACTGAAATTGAATTCAAAGAAAAAGTGAGAAGAAAAAAAAATCATGAAATCTGAATCTTCTTTGTTCAGTTGCCATTACATTGACCCAGATATCACTGCTCCAGGTTCTAAATTGTGCAGCTATTCATGGGAATCAATGGCGAACATGCAATACTAGGAACAAAGGTATTGATTGATCTAAAAACATCAAGAAATGTACCCATCAGTATCAATTTCATGTTCAATCTATTTTTGACACTAGAACATTAATTGGAATGTCCTGAAAAACTTATGTTGCAAAGCATTTAACCCAGTTTCCTAACCCTGTTTTATTAGGTCACCTGAGTAAACTCAGGTGACCTATTGCTATCTGTTTTCGTCCGTCGTCGTTCGTCGTACGTCGTACGTTGTACGTCGTACGTCGTTCGTAAACTTTTGAACATTTTCAGCTTCTTCTCTGCAACCACTGAACCAATTTCAACCAAATTTGGCACAAAGCATCTATGGGTTAAGGGGAACAAAAATTGTGAATTTTGATCCCTGCCCCCCTGGGGCCTGAGGGGTGGGGCCAAAACCACTAAAATTAATGCAATCTTTATATATATCAAACTGTTTGCATGATTGTAATCAGCACTGAGTCCTCTACCAAAATTGTGAAATTCATGGCCCTGGGGTCAGGGTTTCTAGTGCTAGGGCGGGGCTAAATAAGTATATAGTGAAAATGCATTATTTCTTTGAAAATCTTCTTTCTACTCCTGGGTATTAAATAAATGAACTAAGTACATAGTTATGATGAGCAAGAGTGCCTCTACCAAAATTGTGAATTTTATGGCCCCAGGGTCAGGGGTTCTGGTGTGAGGGCGGGGCTCTATTGATTATATATAGTGAAAATACATGAATTCTTTGAAAATCTTCTACTCTGCTCCTAGGTATTGAATAAACTAACTAAGTGCATAGTTATGATGAGCAAGAGTGCCTCAACCAAAATTGTGAATTTTATGGCCCCAGGGTCAAGGGTTCTGGTGTTGAGGAGGGGGGTGGGATGGGGCTATATTGATTACATAGTGAAAATACATGAATTCTTTGAAAATCTTCTACTCTGCTCCTAGGTATTTAGTAAACTAACTAAGTGCATAGTTATGATGAGCAAGAGTGCCTCAACCAAAATTGTGAATTTTTTGGCCCCAGGGTCCAAGGGTGGGGCTCCATAGATTATATAGTAAAAATACATGAATATATAGGTATTAAATAAACTAAGTAAGTGCATAGTTATGATGAGCAAGAGTGCCTCTACCAAAATTGTGAATTTTATGGCCCCAGGGTCAAGGGTTCTGGTGTTGGGGAGGGGGGTGGGATGGGGCTATATTGATTACATAGACTAGTGAAAATACATGAATTCTTTGAAAATCTTCTACTCTGCTCCTAGGTATTTAGTAAACTAACTAAGTGCATAGTTATGATGAGCAAGAGTGCCTCAACCAAAATTGTGAATTTTATGGCCCCAGGGTCCAGGGTTCTGGTGTTAGGGTGGGGCTCCATAGATTATATAGTAAAAATACATGAATCTTTGAAAATCTTCTACTCTGCTCGTAGGTATTAAATAAACTAACTAAGTGCATAGTTATGATGAGCAAGAGTGCCTCTACCAAAATTGTGAATTTTATGGTCCCAGGGTCAAGGGTTCTGGTGTTGGGGAGGGGAGGGGGGGCTCTGTTGATTATATATTGAAAAAACATGAATTCTTTGAAAATCTTCTACTCTGCTCCTAGGAATTAAATAAACTAAGTACATAGTTATGATGAGCAAGAATGCTTCTTTTAAAATTATGAATTTTATGGCCCCAGGGTCAGGGGTTCTGGTGTTAGGGGGGCGGGGCTCTATTGATTATACAATGAAAATACATTGAATCTTGAAAATGTTATTCTCTGTCTCTGGTTATGAAGCAGATGAACTACCTTTATAGTTATGTTGAGCAAGGGCCCTAATATTGCAGACTTGTGAATTTCAAGGCCCCAGGGTCAGGGGTGGGGTGGGGGCTCTACTTATATACTGAAAATGAATTTATTGTTTGAAATCTGCTCTTTTGTATTTATAAAACATTTATTTTTTTTTATATTAAGGGTGCCTTTTTAAAATTTGTGCAATGTGTGGACCTAGGGTCAGGGGTTTATGTCACAGTGTTAGGGGCACTACTGATTAGTTGGAATGCATTTTTGTTCCCCTACCCTGTGTATGGGTATTCAGTAACCAAGCTAAGCAACTGCTAAGTGTATTGTTTTGATGATCAATGGTGCCTCTTTCAAAATTATGAATGTCATATAGCATCTGAATCAAATTCAATAACTGGAAAGTTGTTGCATAATGCTCAGGTGACCTATAAGGCCCGTGGGCCTCTTGTATATATATATATATGTATTAACACCAGAATAAAACTTAGAGTATAGCAATTATATTGATATACTGTACCAGCACTGTGATCCAACTGAATTTTTGGGTACCTGAATCCTTAATTGGGAAGTTGAACTGGGCATGTAGTAGGTGTACCAAAGGATAGTTTATATATCTCACAAATACACCCCCCCCCCCCCAATAGGAGCTATTTACAGTGTTAGTGTCTTGGTCTTTATTTAACTCTTACTGCTATGTAGAATTTACAATGAGACATGAGCAATCTTGCTATGGTTCTGAACCCCTAAGGTAAAGTAGTGGTCCAGATAGTTCTAATTTGATCCCCTTCCTGTCAAGGTTTTGTTGTTTCTTGTCCTTTTATGCAATATACATTGTATTCAGAAGAATTTCATTTCCTATCCAGGTCAGGTAATATTCTAGATCTGGTTCTGTCTAATTCCATCAACTTGTGGGTAGCTGAATTTCTTTCATTTTTCTTTGGGGTGACATTTTGGTTCCATTTAAGTCCCTCAACTTGTGGGTGGCTAGATTTCTCTGTCTAATGAGATTCTGAAGGATCACACAAGATATATATGTTGATTTCTCTGCATGTTCTAAGTATCTGTGGCCTCTAGTTCATGGTCTTGAAGGCCACACAATGGTATAAAGTCTTATTAGAGCTGATGTGTTTGAACTAGGCCACAAGGATGTCAAGTCACCTTCTGATGCCATGGTATATATTGAAATATACAGCTGAATGTGTGCAGTTTTGATGGTGCATAACAAAAATATTTTGTTGTTTTCACCTGCATTGATGTATATGAAATACATTTCAAGTCAACTTGCAAATTCAGTTGTTGTTGTTTGCACATGCATTGATGCATTATATG